GTAACGCCCCCTCCTCTCTCTACGGCTCGGAAGCCTTTCAGGCGCAGAGTCTGCTGCGGTGCCCTGCAGCTGCCCATGTGCTGTATCATGCAAGCAAGGCAGTAACAAACTTCAACAGGCCTTTATTTACCAAAGGTGAAACCTCTTTCCAAAGCTACTGCTGCTCCCCTCTGTAGCTCTCACTCAGCCCTGGCCCATCTCCTCCCCCCTCCTTCCTGTTTCCTGCGCTTCCAGATCCCCAACACCACTGCTCCCAGTTCTAATCATTACAAGCAGCATCTAAAACACCACGTTCCCTCCTCTCTTAAGAAGCTCTCCCAATTATAAAATAAACATCGTTGTTCTAACCGCAGCAACAAATATGGAACAAGACACTGTACTGTTGGCAGAAATATGACACTGAAAACACTGTTGCTGGCAGGCAGCCATGTAGTGGAATTTGGTTTTTCCAATAGCACACCAGTTAAAGTTTGGATTCAGTAAGAGGCATGTTTTTAAAGTAATGCAAATAGATGGAATCAAGTAGCATAGATACTGCTGAGCCAGTGTCCAACATTAGCTCAATAGGATGTGATTTGCCTGAAGATTCCTTATCTTTTCTGGAATATGGGCAGTAGTGACTTTGTCCACACTCAGCACAGTAACATCTGGTATTGTAACTGCATGCACCTGTTGATTGGACTGGCTACTGTGGCAGACCTTCGCAAAATGCCCAATCCTTTGGCAGGGATTGTACTGAGCTACTTTTGCAGGACATCCTGTGTAGCTTGCGAGGTGTTGTGGGGATCCACAGGGGAAGCATGCTTTTGCTGTGCTTTGAATTTGCTGATTCTGAGGTTTTTCATTAGTTTTCCCCTTGTGCAGCCATAGTGGACTTTTCTGCAAAGGAGTCACAGCCTGGACTAGGCCTCCTGTATCCGTGCTCATTATTTTGGCTTCTGCTATAGCTGACTCAATCTGGGTAGCAATGGTTATTGCTTTTTCCAGAGAAGCAAGCATTCTCTTACACAAAGCGTGGTTGTTTTCTCAATGAGCTGGTCTCTAATAATCTCATCTGCCATATTCCCAAAGTCACAAGTTACAATCAGACTCCTCAGAGAAGCAACATACTGCAGTATCGTCTCCCCTGGTTTCTGCTCACGCTGGCGAAATCTGTAGCGATTAGCTACTACATTCACTTTTGGCACAAAAAAGTTCTTTAATGCAATGAGTGCGGTCTCATATTTATCATCTGCAAGGGGAAAAGTGTAAAATACACGCTGCCCTTCTGCTCCAAGGCAGTGGATTAGCAGAGCGCGCTGTCTTACTTCAGAAATCGCTGTAGCGCTGATGGCAAGCAGATAAGTCTCAAATATATGGATCCAGGCGGTAAAAGCAATTGGGGGCTCACCTGGGCTTTGCAGAAAGGGTGCAGGTGGGTTCAGAGGCAGAAGATCCATCCTCGTCACCAAAATGTTGTATCATGCAAGCAAGGCACTAACAAACTACAACAGGCCTTTATTTACCAAGTGGGTACAACCCACTTCTTCAGATGACTGGAGTATTAAAAGTCCAGTTCCGAAATAGACAGGGGATGGGGTGGAGGGGAGAAGGACGGGGGAAAAGCGAGTGAATTAGAGTGTTCGTGTTACATGAAGCTGATAGAGAAGGTGCAAATATTCTACCAATCCCAAAGGATCGGCCGCGTTACCTCCCTTAACGAATCCTCCCGATCTTCCCCAGGACACGCCTGCAGCCAATTCTTATTCCCTGAGCAAAAATGCATGAGCAAAGAAAAGAGTCTTGCTCAAAGGCCCCCTCCAGAACGCTAGGGACGCCATGCGGAGGGCAGCTTCATTGCGGAGCTGGGAGCTTTAGCGTTGCCGAGAGCCCCGGCACCAGGTTTGAAGCAGTGACTGGTGAGGTCTCTGGTTGCTCCCCAGCTGCCGGAAGGCTCCAGTGCCCTCGTCAGAGTGCTCCATTGGTATAAGTTCACAGTGCGGAGATCAGAGATCTCGGTTATCCCCGGCCCCAACCCTGCCGCTGGCCCAGACGTGACTTTTTTTTCTTTGGCAGGGATCCTCCGGGCTTAAAGGGGCCGAGGGTCCTCCCGGACCTGCGGGCAGGAGCATCACCGGGCCACCGGTAAGTACCCCCGTTCCTGCTGCAGGGCGGGGCCCCATTCGCGCCGTGGTTTCAGGGAGGTGACAGTCACTTGCAGGGGTGTCGGGACCTCGCCCTCGTCAGCGTGTTAAACAGAACAGTCTGCCCCACGTGCACAGCTCCCCACCTCGCCCCCGGGTCTTGCACGTTCCCAGACAGTGAGCCTCGGGTGTGGGCCCACTGACCTCCGCCTCTGGCTGCTTGGCTGGTGGGTGGGAAAGGAATCCACTGCAGGCCCACACCTGGGAGGTGGCCTTCGCTCCTCCCCCTGCACTCTGCCACACCTAGGCCTCCCCCGGCAGGGCGAGAAGAGACCAGACCTGGCCGGAAGGGTTATAACGGGGCAGGCAGAGGGGGCTACGGGACACACACAGATGCTGGGATTCTCCCTGGCTCTCCAGGCCCCAGACTGGTTAGCCCAGGTCAGCCCGGGTCTCTGCAAGGCCACACCTGGGGGAAGTGGTCACAGCTGCTGACCCGTAACGGAGTCCAAGCCTTCAGGCTATGTCTACACTGCCAGTTTTTGCGGCAGAAAATATGCTAATGTCGGACTCATTTGCATGAGTCGCGATCTCATTTGCATCTTTTCTGCCCATCTGTTTTTGCGCTGGGCTCTCTGCACAAAAACAAGCAGCGTGGACATTTTCTTTTTGCGCAAAACCCCCTTTTCCCGCAAGATCTCTATGCCTCCCAAAAGGAAGTCTACCGATCTTGCGCAAAAAGGGGTTTTTGCACGAAAAGGAAACGTCCACACGGCTTGTTTTTGCGCTAAAGCCCCTAGCGCAAAAACGGATCCTCAGAAAAGATGCAAATGAGATTGCGACTCATGCAAATGAGTCCCTCATTAGCATATTTTCTGCTGCCAAAACTGGCAGCGTAGTCGTAGCCTCAGAGTCAGTGCAGTACCGGGGACGCAGGCTCAACGCCACGTGTTGCTGGGCATCTCCTTCTGCGCGCTCAGGGCTTCGTATGATGGACTTTCCTCAAGCAGGATGCAGGTGTCATCTCCTGCTCAGAGCGGAGGGGAGGGAGGGCAGGACTCCTGGGTTCTGTTCCCTAATTGGCCAGGCACTACTAGGACGATGGCGACGCCGGCTTCCCCGTCTCTAAGGCAGGAGTGCTGCTGTGCCTTGCGGTGCCCGGAGCCAACGGGTTGACGGTACGTAAGATGCAGCCTCAGGGCTGCCGGAGGGGGGGTGTCTCGCTCTGGGAGACTCGCTGACACCACCAGGGTAGAATTGGGCTGCGCTGGGCATTCATTCCCTGGAGAGCAGAGAAGGCAGCAG